GAAGAATCTAACAAAAAAAACTTTTTTTTTTTTTTTTTTTTAGGAGAAATCAAGTGCAGTCCTTCAGAAAGCCCGTTAATGGAGAAGAAGAAAAACTTGAAGGAAGACCACGAAGAAGCAAAATTGTCTCTTGGTGATGTCGAATCCCAGAGCCCTGCTCCTGAGACGGGGCCTGCCACCGTGCCCTTGCGGGCTGTGGTGGAGGAGAGGACCGTGTCCTTCAAGCTGGGGGACTTAGAGGAGGTGCCGGAGTGCCAGCGGCTCCCTAGCCTGGACCTGAAGGAGGAGACCAGCGTGGATGGCACTGGGAATGGTGAGTGGGACTGCTTGGCACGCGTGCTGCTGGGGCCACCTGGGGACTTGGTGCTGAGTGTCCTCCTGGGTCTTGCCAGGTGCGGTGCAGCTGCCCAGCGGGAACCTGGTCCAGCTCAGCCAGGCTGTCAGCAGCCAGCTGGCCGTCAGTGGCCACTCCCAGTACCACACTGTGCATAAGGACTCGGGCCTGTACAAGGAGCTGCTGCACAAGCTGCATCTCGCCAAGGTGGGCGACTGCATGGGAGACTCCGGGGACAGGCCCCTGAGGCGCAACAACAGCTACACTTCCTACACTATGGCCATCTGCGGCATGCCTCTGGACTCGCTCCGTGGCCGGGATGGCGAGCCAAAGGGTGAGGAGATCGAGAAGCCGACATGGCCAGGTGCAGACAGCAGGAAGCGGGCCCGCATGGATAGCTACACCAGCTACTGCAATGCTGTGGCCGACCTCCACTCGGCCTCTGAGGTGGACGTGGGCACCGATGCCGAGACAGCTCTGGGGATCAGAAAGGGAAGCAGCGGCTCTCTGGAGGAGTGGAACGACCAGGATAAGCCAGAGGTGTCTCTCCTCTTCCAGTTCCTGCAGATCCTCACGGCTTGCTTTGGGTCCTTCGCCCACGGAGGCAATGACGTCAGGTTGGTGACGTGGGCTCTCATGTTGCTCGTTCTGTTCTCATGCCTCTTGCCCTCCATGTGGCTGTGCTTGTGGCCACGGGGCTCCTACATGGGACCCCAAGTGGTCTGGTGGGATGAGAGGGTAGACTTGACAACGGAAGGGGCAGTGAAGTCTTTCTCCCTAGAGCGAGTACAGGCTATGTCTTCCACCTCACAGACCTCTTTCAGAGGGGCCTTTGTCTAGGCAGGACCGGTTCTTCACCCACACCTGCTGGCTGTGGGAGAGGGAGCACAACGTGCCCATGGGAGGGGCTCGTAGGCTGCGGCCTTGGTTGTGTGCTTTGTAAACTCGTGGTCTCCCTGTGGGGACACTGGGGTTGTGCGTATGACGTCCACTGATGAGCGCCTTTGCCTTCTCTTGTGCGTGTGGGACTGTTCATTCCCTGTGATACAGACCTGTTTGCCAGGTGAGCTTTGAGCATCACTGAGATAACTAGCAAGTTGCTTGGCAAACCGGAGCTGACCAGGTTCTAGTCGTGCTGAAACACTATCCTTGCCTTTGTTTTCTTTCAGTAATGCCATCGGCCCTCTGGTTGCTCTGTATCTGGTTTATGACACAGGAGATGTGTCTTCAAAAGTAGCAACCCCAATATGGCTGCTGCTGTATGGCGGTGTGGGCATCTGCGCCGGCCTGTGGGTGTGGGGCCGGAGAGTCATCCAGACCATGGGCAAGGACCTGACACCAATCACGCCCTCCAGGTGAGCCACCTGCACACACAGCCTCAGCTCAGGTTGGGTTATGGGTCCTCACGCTGTCCTTGGTGCTGTGAACTTCAGTTAGTACTTCCTGTCTGGCCCTCAGGCGTTGTCTGTCAGGCATTCACGGATTTAACTCCAGTGGCCTCAGAGCACAGTCACTTATTCTAAGGAAGGGTGTGCCAAGAACGAATTATGTGTACTTGGCCTTTATGTGTTTTACTTGGGAGCTGAGACTGACATTTAAACTTTAGTAAACTCCTGGGCTTCCAGAAACCTTAAACCTCCAATGCTAGAGAAGAGGGAGCAGGGCAGCCGTGGCCTAAATGGAGTGGGCTCCTAGCGCTCTAGCAGATGAAGTAGGGGCTTTGTTACCACGTGGGGCAGCGAGACAGCTTTGACTTTGGGGTGGCATCAGCTCATCAGAAACCCAGATGTCATTCTTGACAAGTCACCTGTTTGTGTCCGCAGTGGCTTCAGCATTGAGCTGGCATCTGCCCTCACAGTGGTGATTGCATCCAACATTGGCCTGCCCATCAGCACAACGCACTGTAAAGTGAGTGATGTCATGCGCCATGCCCTTTGGATGGTTTGTGACATGAGGTTTTTTCTTCGAAGCTTTGGTAGAAAGTTTATGCAGTGGGGCGTTGAGTCCACACATTAAGGACAAGTGACTATAAGAACGTAGAGGCTCAGAGCCTCTCGGGACTGAAGGTCTAAGAAATGGGGCTGTGTCCTAAGGTTGCTTAGTGACCATGTGGTCACCGCGGGGGAGGAAGAAATGGTGCCTGAGGTGGAGCGTAAATTGGCTCATTGTGGGGCCTGGAGTGATTGGCTATGAAATCTAATATCAAGCTTTTTCTAGAATGATCTTTGGAAAACCTACAACTTAAAGTGACTTGCTGTTAAAGCAACTAATAGTTTCTGGTACATTTCATTTAATCCCTGTAGCTCGGAAGGGGAAGGAGGTGTTCTTTTCTATTGTGCTTCACCCCAGTCGATGCAGACTTGAGGACTGGCTTTTATGTTACTTCCTCTTCCCATGAGCACTTGGTTGGCAGTCTGGGCCCCCATGTCTGTGAAGCCATGCATCTCTACTTCAGCACCATTGCCCTTGTGACGGGTTCCCGCCCCGCTCTCTCCTAGGTGGGCTCGGTCGTGTCCGTCGGCTGGCTTCGGTCCAAAAAGGCTGTTGACTGGCGGCTCTTCCGCAACATCTTCGTGGCCTGGTTTGTCACGGTCCCCATTTCCGGTGTCATCAGCGCTGCCATCATGGCGGTCTTCAAGTATGCCATCCTGTAGGCCTGAGGTCGAGGCGGGAACCGTGTCCATGCTGGGCCACCTTGCATTCCGCACCTTTGAGGGGTGACGAAGGTTTCAGAAGGCCTCAGGACAGTCTCTAAGGTGTGGGAGCTGTGGGAGGAGGTGTTGCTCGTGCTGCAATTGCTTTTGTGCTTAATACCATGTGTCTCAAAATTAGCTAAATAGCCAGGTTTATACTGGTTCCCATTGGCTGTGACTTCCTGTACATACTTCTCTACTTTTTGTATCCAGCTTCCATTCCATTGTGTTTTGATGTTGTCTCTAAAGATAATTTGTGATTTTTTTTTTTTAAAAAAACACCATTCAGAGCCGTATGACAGTGCTCTGCTTGGTGATATCACCAGTTTCTGCTGCACACGCACAGGACTTAACAAAAATATGCCTGAAACTTTCCTGTAGTCGTAGAGAAGCAGTCACATCGCCTTGCCTCCTGTCAATGGGGGCAGGCTCTGCTGGCATCCTTGGGAACTTGGGGGCAGTGTTCTTGGGTGCAATGACAGGGCATTGTGACTCTGCCAGCAGTCCTGACAGTGCTGTGGGGCAGCGAGATGAAAGTCTGCTGCAGCCTGGTGGTCCTGGTTCCTGGCCGAGCGGGTGGAGGAGGAGGCGGGTGTGAGCTCGAGCAGGCTAGATGCGCCGGCCTGCCATGTCCATCTGTCTACCTCTTCACTCAATAAAAGGTCTACAGTTTTTAGAAACTGCATTCTCCTGGTGTTTATTCATATCGGAAGCATTTGGGCTCCTGACTGGTCAGCCTCATGTTCTTAGGAGACGGGGTATCTCACCCAGTAGGGACTGCACCAGCTTCAGGTCCCCACTCCCCCCATCACGGTCCTTTGGTGGGGACTGTGTAGCACTGGCAGCTTTTCTTGTAGCAGCAGAACCTCGACATTCTCACAGTGGCACACACAGATACACTCATCGGTTTCAACAGCCGCAGTTTTTCTGTGCGAATGGACTGGCTTGCAATTGTTTCTAGCTCTGTGGTTGCTCAGATGGGTGGGGGGCGGTGTGTGTGTGGGGCTCAGCTTTATTTAAAAATCCTCAGTGTTGGTCTCAACTACTATCTCTTACTCCTGGTCAGCACAGTTTGCGGGAAGTGTGTTGCTTTGCAAACTACATGACGGTTCTTGTCCTGAGAGTTGGTGTTAGGAAGGTGCTCTTTGGCAGCCAGCCTGTAACAGGGCAAGGCTCTGCCTGCCTGGCCTATGCCCAAGGGCTGAGGTCAGGGCACGCTGTAGAGTCTCCTATTTACGTCGGGCCTATACTCAGCTTACGCACGTGGAGTCCTCGACACCTGCAGTGGGTCTGGCCCTTACTTTACAGCTGATGAAACAGGTTAGAGGACATCTGTCGCTTTCAGGGAGTTTGTTATCAGGGAGTGGACATCATTTTCAGCCTTTAGGGCTCGCTGGATGCACCTTGTGGCTTCACAAGAGGGAGAGGACTATAGTCAAGTGGAACCTGGCACCATGCTCTGAGCTGAGGGTTCTGCGCAGACCCTCTGAGTTTCAGCTTTTTTTGCTGGAACCATGTGGCCTAACATGGCCCAGACCCTGTGATCTTCCCTGTGATTGGCCGGGGTGATACAACGGGTCTTCCAGCCCCTTCAGTCCTGGCGGCACCCTGTGTCCACATGGCATCGGTTCAAGCTTCCCACTCCTAGGGGATGCAGACCTTAAGGCCTGGCCTTTTACTGTGTCAGAGGGGCCTGCCTTTGGGAAGATCCATGTCCTGGTGTTAGCACCGAGCTGCTGAGTCACACAGCGAGCATGCGCGGTCACTTCACCCCACAGGTCTTTTACTGCAGTATGTTGTCTTTTTTTCATGCTGGTCACTAACCCACCCTGAAATGCCACTGGCTGTCTGATTTCATCTCAGGATTATCAGAAGCAGCGGGAATAGTCTCGACCGGTTGGGGCCTCGTGCACAGGTGTGGACGGGGCTGAGCAACTGCATCCCAGAGCCTTGTGTCACTTTGGAGGTTCCTTGGCCCACTTGTTGGGTGTCCTGTCTCCTGCGGTCTGTGTCTTCCATGTTTCTTGGTTTAACGCCTGCTGTTGGTGGAGAGCGCCAGAGGGCAGTTTCCCGAGAAAGCATAGGAGAGGATTTCCGTGTTTTAACTCCATCTTCATGTTTAGTTGATGGCTCAAGTGTGGAGTCTAGATTTGAGTTCACCCCTCAGAGTGCTCCCCGTCGGGAGAAGCTGGCGGGATGTTTGCTCCCGAGAGGTGGGCGTGTGATGGCTAAGAACTGCTATGTCTTTGAGCAGACGGAGCGCTTCACCCCGAGTCACACCCCCGGTTCTGGGAAGGCCCTGAGTTGCTTTGATGTCTCCACACCTTCTCTTTTTTATTTTCTTTTTTGAGCTATCTAAGCTATTGAATCGGTCCTCTAATTTCCCAGTTTTTTACTCAACACGTTTTTCTCTTTCTCTGACCTAGTCTTTTTTTGAGAGATGTCCTCAACTCTGTTGTCTGATCCTGCTGCTAAAACTTCTGCTCCTTTCTAATTTCCAAAAACAAAAAAAATAGCATCCTGTTTTATGGATGTAATCAATACCTTTTTGAAAATATTAATGATAATTTTAATTTGTTAGAATAGAATACCTCATCTTTTTTACTCTGGTCTTTTACTGTAGTCTCTGCCATGCCAAAGGCCTTCCTCGCCTGCCTGGTGCTCTTCTGTCATCTCATATTTAAGAGACTGAAATGCTGGTGGGAAGTTCAGGATGTGGATGGCACTCGGGAAACGGTGGTTCTCAACTGGGGGTGGTTTTTGCTCTCCCTGCTCCCTGGAATGTGAGGCAGTACTGTGACTTTTGGTTGTCACAGTCGGGGTTGCTAGTGGCCAGAGATGTTGCAATAAACGCCCTGCAGCACGCAGGGCCCTTAGCAGTGACCTGCCTGGTCTGAGGTGTCAGTCCTGAGGTCGAGAGCTGGGGTGATCTGGCCAGCTCTTTCTTGGGGGGGTTCACAAAAGAATCAGGTGTAAACCCGGCTCAGGGCTCAAGAGTGCACTGTTCTCAGCACAGGCAATTCTTGCTTTGTGGCATGAATTTGATACCACATCTGGAAAATAACTTAGCCTACCCCCCAACACTGTTTAAATATCTGTTGCTGTGGTGTGTGGTTAACTGGTGGTGCTTGTGTGAAGTACAAACTCTAATGCTAGTTCTATCCACAAGGTACTTTACAGAGGACTGCTGCCATCCGTGTCCGTGGCTGCCAGGCCACGTCTTTGGAAGTTGGTGGCTGATGCTATGTGTCTGCTGTTCAGTTCACAGATGACAGAGCTTGTTGTCACCTCCTTACTCCCAGTGGCGGACAGAAAGCAGGAAGAGTCTTAAGCACCGCTGGTGAAGGGGCTTGAACAAAAGCGAAAACTCGATTTTTACCATCAAATAGCTTTTGGTGATCCAGCCACTGGACAAAGATGTGATTTCGACTTTTCATGGACTTTTGGATAGGCTGCTGAGGCTACAGCTGGAGATTGTAGTTTCCCTAGCTCTAGCTGAGATTCGAAAGACAGGAGCATATCATGGCAGAAAGTGACGGGGACATGTGGTGTGGCAGAAACTCACCGCAAATTGTGTTGCAGGTTCCGAGTGAATGGAAGCTGAGTTGTGTGAGATGTGGGACGGCCGGGCCACTGTCTTGGGGAGCTTGGTACAGGTGACCTTGTCAGCTTGAGTGGGGAAAGTGATTGTGATGGAAAGGGTGCAGATGTCCCAGAGGGATTGGTGGCCAATTTCACGTGCAGGGACTCCTTGGAGATGATTCAAACACTGAAAAAAAGATGCATTGGAAGCCTATCCCAAAACCATTTGATCTCAGTGTTTCTAATGTTTTAACTCAGTGATTCCCAACCTTTTTGGCACCAGGGACCAGTGCTTCTATGAGAATATAACACCTGATGATCTGAGATGGAGGTGAGGTGGTGATGCTGGTGATGGGAAGTGGTTACAAATACAGATGAAGCTTTGCTCACTTTGCCGCTGCTCACCTCCTGCCATGCAGCCCAGTTCCTAACAGGCTATGGATCAGTACCAGCCTAGGGGTTGGGGAACCCTGTTTTAAATCACAGTGGACTAAAGTAGTCATTACTATTTTCTGATTTCCGAACACGTTTATAACATTTTGACAAAACAGTTTTTAATGTTTTGACAAAAATTTTAAAGTATATGGGACACCCATGTCCCCTGTAGATTACCAAGTCGCCTGGCACGGTCACGTCGGGACCCGCATCAACAGTCCAAGTAAGGGTGGCCTGTGTATTTCCTGCCCTCAGCTCTGTTTGCTGTTTACTACTCAGTGGGCCTTCCATTGTGCCCTTTGGAAACTTCCGGTCTAATGCCACATGGAGGTAACACATGACTGCAGCGTGGGCACAGAGTCTGCCGCTTAGAAACGTTTCATTATGGGGATTTCAGGTACACCCGGAAACGCCCAGGTGCCCACTGCCCTGCTCCAGCTGCAGGTGGCGTTTGGCCCCCATTTCCAGCCTCTCCCTCACACGCTAAAGTTTTCACTGCAGTATTTTAAACCAAACAGGTCACCTCACCTGTATAACACTTGAGGATTTGTATAAAAGATAGTGCTTTGGTTTTAAATGTCATCCCAGGGTGCCCTGAGTACTTCCTGCACTACCAGCATTTCTGGTTTACCCTCCTTGTTGTGTCCCTTCTGGAGGGACCTGTTCTCTTATTTAGAGGCTTCAGTGGCAGTTGGCGTTGGCGGTCTCGGGCTGGCCCCTTGTCCCCATGTGCTGTCTGTTTTCCACTGTCTTGGTTTTGTCTCCTTGGTGGATGACTGTCTCTACAGTGGTCTGTTACTTCCACTTTGGTGCACTTTCAGAGGGAGTTGAGGGTTACTGGAATGCTTATATTGAAAATTTTTTGAACAATTAAGCATAGAAGGTCAAGAGTGAAAGAATCTTGCCCAGTCTCGTTTCCCAAAGGTAACTCACTGGCTTGCACTTCTTGGGCATTTTGCCTGTGCATATGTGCACATACGTGTGGACGTGGGAGCACGTGCACACATGCAGACTCCCGAGAGATGAAGCTGCTTGTCCCTTGGTACAGCCCTTGGCTCGGTGCTGAGCCACCAGGGGACCTGCCGCAGCAGCTGAGAGCCGGAGCGATGTGGCAGCAGCGTGCACGCATCTCCTCGCAGGCTGGCCCATCTATCGGCCAGGCTGAGCTTTTCACTGGTTCGTTTCCTAACTGGCAGGAAATGGAAGGGTTTGTTTTTTTGCTGGTTTTCTCTGCCATGACCTGTTGTGGTGCCTCCTGGTTCGATCAGGCTCCTCGGCGCACGTGCGCTGTATGAGCTGCGTCTCCAGCACTGTTCTTCGCCTCCAGACGGGAGACCTCACCCTGGACCATCCCCAGTTCACCTGGGACACAAGTGTCTGAACAGGTGGAAGGGATCAGCTAGTGGGACGTTGCTAAGGTGTCCAACCAGGCTGCTACTTCTGTGACAGACGGAGAATTTCGAGACTATTCTTTGATTTTTAAAATACCAACTAAAAACGAAGCACTGTTGCTGCTGACCAGGGTCAGATGGCATGCCAGACTGCTGCATGTTCCCTGACCAGACTGTGGGCAGGGTGCTGCCTGTCCATGGAAGCAGGATGGGTACTTTTTGGGGAAGGCTCCCTGGTGTGACTGTGGAGACCTAGATGGCAGGCTTCCACC